TCGCAGCAATCGAGCTACCTGAGCTGGTTCTCCGGGTTCGCCAACACCTATAGACGCTCCACCAGGACGGTGGGCTGAGGACTGTGGACAGGGGAGGACAGGGGGGAGAGAGGGAGGAGAGAGGAGGGAGGACAGGGGCGCAGGAGAGGGAGAGGAAGAAGAGAGGGAGAGAAGGAGGAGGAGAGAGGGAGAGGGGAGGAGAGAGAGGTGAGAGAGGAGGAATGAGAGGGAGAGGGAGGAGATGAAGGGAGAGGAGGGAAGAGAGAGGGAGGACAGGGGTTGAGAGGAAGGAGGACAGGGGCGGGAGAGAGGGAGGAGACAGGGGAGGGAGGGAGGAGAGAGGGTAGGACAGGTGGGGAGAGGGAGGACAGGGGGGGAGAGGAGACAGGGAGGGAGGAGGAGGACAGGGGGAGGGAGGAGAGATGGGAGGAGAGAGGGAGGAGAGAGGGAGGAGAGAGAGGAAGGACAGGGGGGAGGATATAACGGCAGTTAGTTCCTTTGGTGTGTGTCTAACACTAACTGCTGCTTTCCAGGCCTGAGAAATAGACTGTCTGAACTTCCAGGTTTTCCAGGTTTTCCAGATGGTTGGGATCTTGACGCAGCTCAAACAGCAGCTGGCTCAGTAACACCTTTAAGATAAAACTGTACGGTTCCAGGATCATCAGAGAGATGATTGGGAGTGCTGTATCATTACTGTAAAGTACTCCCATCATGCTCTGATGCACCATCTGACTCCGCACCAAACACAGAACAGGGAATCATATTATTATATTTAAACATTATCATCATAATATGTTTTATTTTTCTTAGGTATATAGTATTTAAACTAATATGATTATTTATAAATATAATATATTATTAATATTTATTACATTATATTACCCTCTGATACAGATATTTACCCTCTGATACAGATTTACCCTCTGATACGATTATTACCTCTGATCAGTATTACCCTCTGATACAGGATATCCCCTCTATACAGATATTACCCCCCTTATTCAGATTTACCCCCCTGATACAGATATTACCTCTTGATACAGATATTACCTCTGATACAGATATTACCCTCTGATCAGATACTACCTCTGTCAGATAATTACCCCTCTTGATACAGATCTTACCCCCTCTGATACGATATTACCCTTCACTAGATAGTATTACCCTCTGCTAAGATATTTACCTCTGATACAGTATTCCCCCCTGATAGATATTACCCTCTGATACCAGATATTACCCTCTTGATACAGATATTCCCTCTGATACAGATATTGACCTCTGATACAGACTATTACCCGTCTGATTACAGATATTACCCTCTGATACGATATTAACCCTCTGATACGATATTTACACTCTGATACAGATATTACCCTTGATACAGATACTTACCTCTGATACGATATTACCCTACTGATACGACTATTACCCTCCTGAATTTTTACGACGCCTGTTACAGGAAGTGACAGGTTGCTACTCGAAGGTCACGTCTCCAACCAGACCACCCGAGCTGCACTATAACGTATAACATAGAAATGATCTGCTTACCAAAATCTCCCCCGTCTGCAGGTGAAGAACTCTCTGACGTCCAAAGACCCCGACGTAAAGACGCAGTACCAGCAGAGATGGCTGGCCATCGACGCCAACGCTCGCCGCGAGATCAAGAACTACGTAAGTCCTCTGAGCGGCGGAGGTTTATTGCTGTAACGCCGTGTCTCTCTGCTTCCCACCGTCTCTCTCTCTCTGTCCCTCAGGTTTTACAGACTCTGGGCACGGAGACGTACCGGCCCAGCTCGGCGTCGCAGTGCGTCGCCGGGATCGCCTGCGCAGAGATCCCAGTTAACCAGTGGCCCGAGCTGATCCCGCAGCTGGTGGCCAACGTCACAGACCCCTCCAGCACCGAGCACATGAAGGAGTCCACGCTGGAGGCCATCGGATACATCTGCCAGGACATCGTGAGTCATCGGACACCTTCTCCAGTTCCCTCAATCGACTTTATTTATTATTAATCTGAGTCTGATTAGAATAACAGCTTCTTGAGCCCACAATAACCCATCTTATGGTGTTTACCTGGCTGCGGTGCCTTCAGGACCCAGAGCAGCTGCAGGAAAACGCCAACCAGATCCTGACAGCCATCATCCAGGGCATGAGGAAGGAGGAGCCCAGTAACAACGTCAAACTGGCAGCGACCAACGCTCTGCTCAACTCCCTGGAGTTCACCAAAGCCAACTTCGACAAGGAGGTACAGACGCACTTCCTGTCCCCAGACGAGTCCCCATCAACCCCCTCTGTACCCCCTCTGTACCCTCTCTGTATTAATATAGCGTGATGTTTTATAAACTGTTTTCTGTTTCAGACGGAGAGACACTTCATCATGCAGGTCGTCTGTGAAGCTACACAGTGTCCCGACACCAGAGTGAGTAACGCCGCGCTCTCCGCCCTCTCCCCGTGTTCACTGCGAGCTGCGTGCTGTAACTGCGCTGTGTTTTCAGGTGCGTGTGGCGGCCTTACAGAACCTGGTGAAGATCATGTCTCTGTATTATCAGTACATGGAGACGTACATGGGTCCCGCTCTGTTCGCGGTAAGTTAACATTTACACACCTGCTGCTCTGCCTTCATTGCTGCCTGCCCCCCCCCTCTGTGTTCTTCAACCATCGTCTTCCTCCTCTCAGATCACCATCGAAGCGATGAAGAGCGACATCGATGAGGTGGCCTTACAGGGTATTGAGTTCTGGTCCAACGTGTGTGACGAGGAGATGGACCTGGCCATCGAGGCCTCAGAGGTCAGTGTAAGCAGACTTCATTACAGTAACCGCTTTAAAACCTCCAGTCTGTTAAAACCGCCCTCCCTTGACTGTCTCTCTCCCTGTTTGCTCTCGTCCAATGGCAGGCCTCGGAGCAGGGGCGCCCCCCGGAGCACACGAGTAAGTTCTATGCCAAAGGGGCTTTGCAGTACCTGGTCCCCATCCTGACCCAGACCCTCACCAAACAGGTAACACATGTGGACTCTGTCGGCTCTGTAAAGACACGGGAAACGTAGTCTTTCATCTGACCTTCTGACCTTCTGACCTTCTGACCTTTGCAGGACGAGAACGATGATGACGATGACTGGAACCCCTGTAAGGCGGCGGGCGTGTGTCTGATGCTGCTGGCTACCTGCTGCGAGGACGACGTGGTTCCTCACGTTCTGCCCTTCATCAAAGAACACATCAAACACCCCGACTGGCGCTACAGAGACGCCTCCGTCATGGCCTTCGGATCAATCCTGGAAGGACCTGAACTCAACCAGCTCAAACCCCTCGTCATACAGGTCGGTGTCTGAATTACCAGCTCAAACCAGCCATCACCACCGCCCCCCCACGTCATTAACAACTCTCCCCTCCCCCTGCAGGCGATGCCGACTCTGATCGAGCTGATGAAGGACCCCAGCGTGGTGGTGAGAGACACCACAGCGTGGACGGTGGGGAGGATCTGCGAGCTGCTGCCTGAAGCTGCCATCAACGAGGTCTACCTGGCCCCCCTGCTGCAGTGTCTGATCGAGGGCCTGGGGGCCGAGCCCAGAGTGGCCTCCAACGTCTGCTGGGTGAGCTGAAGGGTAGACTGTCGGGGTGGGCGGGATCCAGAAGGACTGGGAACAGGTTTAACGTCCCGTTTGTCCTCCAGGCTTTCTCCTCGCTGGCTGAAGCAGCTTACGAAGCCACAGACGCAGCCGAGGACCAGGAGGAGCCCAGCACCTACTGTCTGTCCTCATCCTTCGAAATCATCGTCCAGAAACTCCTGGAGACCACAGACAGGTGGGGNNGGGGGGGGGGGGGGACACCTTGAGGCACAAAGATCAAAGTCATTGCACAGACATGTTCATTGTAACAAACACTTCAGTGTGCACAATATGAATCATTAATCACTATATTAATACTCAGAGTCCTGGAGAGTTCTGAATGAATATAAAGTCAAGTTGTTTCAGTTCATTTGGCTGTTTTGGTGCTAAAGTCAGATTTTGGCTCTAAGATGATGTGTCACAGTAACACACACACACACACACACACACACTCTGTGGTGGGACAGCTTCCTGTTACAGAGACTTCCTGTGCTCAGAGTAAAGTCAGCTGAGTGTTGGACTGCTCACTGAACCAAAGAGGAAGCTTTAAATAGAAACCTGCTGCAGAGACAGAAGTTAGTATAAAGACGCTGTCGGACCTTCAGAGTGGTTCTATATGTTCACTTATCTCTAACAGTCAGCAGGACGACTGGATCAGGGTGTGACGGTGAGCACTGTTGATGTGTTTCAGGCCTGACGGTCACCAGAACAACCTGCGCTCTGCTGCCTACGAGGCTCTGATGGAGATCGTGAAGAACAGCGCCAAAGACTGCTACCCTGCGGTCCAGAAGACCACTCTGGTGATCATGGAGAGGCTGCAGCAGGTCCTACAGATGGAGGTGAGAGACTCACAGTGCAGCATGTTACAGGCTTCTAATTTGAAAGAACATCCTGTTAAGGTCTGCTTCCTCTTCTGTCCCCCAGTCTCACATCCAGAGCACCTCAGACAGAATCCAGTTCAACGACCTGCAGTCGCTGCTGTGTGCCACTCTACAGGTGAGACGACACACCTGAGCCTTCAAACACTGCTCACGCTCTTATTGTGACAGAGCCGTTGGAGACAGTTTCCTGTGCATATGTGTTGCAGAATGTCCTCCGTAAAGTTCAGCATCAGGACGCCCTGCAGATCTCGGACGTGGTGATGGCGTCTCTGCTGAGGATGTTCCAGAGCACCGCCGGCTCCGGAGGCGTTCAGGAGGACGCTCTGATGGCCGTGTCCACGCTGGTCGAAGGTACGAACAGAGTGCAGACTGATTACTGAACAAAGAGCCACTGTAGAACTTTACTGTTTGAGCTTCCACTCTCTAACAGAACCGTAGTGGAAGAAGATGAACTCTGTCTGTTTGTTTCAGTTCTGGGCAGCGACTTCCAGAAATACATGGATGCCTTCAAACCTTTCCTGGGTATCGGACTGAAGAACTACGCTGAGTATCAGGTACTGTGAGCTGATCCTTTACAGGAGTGCTACCACCAATCTGCTGCAGGCAGTCTGGGTGATGCTGACCATGATATTGATGATATATTGATTGGTTGCAGGTGTGCCTGGCGGCGGTGGGTCTGGTGTGCGACCTGTGCAGAGCTCTGATGTCCAACATCCTGCCTTTCTGTGACGAGATCATGCAGCTGCTGCTGGAGAACCTCGGGGTGAGGAAGAGGAGGAAGTGCACTCTCACCCTCCCATTCTCTTTCTACTCACCCACTTTTCATCCCCCTCCTGCCCCCTCCCCCTCTGTGCAGTGTCCTCAGTAAACGTATGGATCAGTGTTTGTTTAATCAGCAGATAGTGTGTGTGTGTGTGGTGTTGTGGTGATGATAAATCATGCACCACGCTGATTGTGACTAAACGACCACATTTATCTGAGACCTCCACACTTCCTGTATTTCATATAACTACACACACTCACACTCACACATACACACCTGTAGTCAGGACAGTGTGAGACAGTGGGAGAGGAGGCTCTCCCTGTACTGTCTCCGTTCTAACGTAATCTGTGTGTCTGTGTTCAGAACGAGAACGTCCATCGGTCGGTGAAGCCTCAGATCCTCTCGGCGTTCGGCGACATCGCTCTGGCCATCGGAGGAGAGTTCAAGAAGTACCTGGACATCGTCCTGGACACCCTGCAGCAGGCCTCTCAGGCACAGGTGGACAAGGTACACACAGAGAGAGAGAGAGAGAGAGAGATGGAGGTCACACAGAGAAGAGAGAGAGAGAAGAGATGAGTCACACAGAGAGAGAGAGACGAGGAGAGAGAGTGGAGTCACACACAGGAGAGAGGAAGTGGAGAGGTCACACACAGAGAGAGGAGAGAGGTAGAGGAGGGGGGTCACACACAGAGAGAGAGAGGAGAGGAGGTCACAAAGGGGCGAGAGAGAGGTAGAGAGAGAGAGAGAGAGGGGTCACACAGAGAAGAGAGAGAGGTAGAGAGGTGCGAGCGAGGGGGCGGGGAGGAGAGAGTAGGTAGATGAGAGAGGAGAGAGAGAGAGGAGGGTCACAACAGAGAGAGAGAGAGAGAGAGAGAGAGAGAGGTCACACACAGAGAGAGAGAGAGAGAGAGGGGGGGGGTCACACACCAGAGAGAGAGGAGAGAGGTCACAGCACAGAGAGAGAGAGAGAGAGGTAGAGAAGAGAGTCACGACGACAGAGGAAAGTTAGAGAAGAAGAGAGAGTCACACACAGAGAGAAAGAGAGGAGGTCACACACAGAAGAGATGAGGAGGTCACAGCACACAGAGAAGAGGTCACACAGAGAGAGAGAGGTCAACCAGAGAGGAGAGGAGAGGTCACACAGAAGAGAGAGATGAGAGAGAGAGGTCACAAATCCCACGAGAGAGAGAGAGAGAGAGGGTCACACACAGAAGAGAGAGAGGAGAGGTCACACACACAGAGAGAGATAAAATAAACAAAGAGGAAAGAGAGAGAGAGAGGTCCCACAACACAGGAAGGAGAAGTCACACAGAAGAAGAGAGAGACGGTTCACACAGAGGAGAAGAGAGGTCACACCGAGGAGAGAGAGAGGTCACACAGGAGGTCCACACGACGGACGAGAGAGAGGGAGAGGAGGTAGAGAGAGGGAGTCCGACATGACTGCAGACAAGGAAATCAGAGTACTGAACATTAAGTATAAAGTTGTCTTTATTAATCAGCGAGATAGGTGTGTGTGTGTTGTGTGTGGTGGAATGTAAAGTCATGTGCACCACGCTTGATTGTGGACGATAAACTGACGACAGTTTATCTGAGAGCTCCACACTTCATTTTACTGACCTGATTTCAATTGAAATATGTAAATAAATAATGATTGGTCAATAATTCAGCTGCTCTTATAATCATTTCCCTTTCTCAATTTTTAGTGCAGTTATGGTTTCAAGACTGTTTATCAAGCTGTTATCGGATTTTGGTGATCTTGGACTGGCAGTTCACTGGAGCGGCCACTGCTGGCGCTGTTAGTACAGTTTAAATGAACGTCGCAGCAGAAAAACCCTTTTTGATTGTAAACTACATTTTTTGTCTTTTAGGATCCATGTTTGGATGTCAGAATGTAGTTGTTTAAAGTGTTTTTAGGAGTAATGTAGATTGATCTACGTGTGTGGTGTGTGTGTGGGGTGTGTGTGTTGTGTGTGTGTGTGTGTGTGTTGTGATGCGCTCGCAGACGGACCTACGACATGGTGGGACTAAACCTGAACGAGTTGTGGGAGGGCTGTCCTGGAGGCTTACACCGGGATCATCCAGGGGCCGATGAAGGGGGACCAGGAGAACGTCCACCGTAAGAGCAAAAGCCACAGCTCTGATCACAACAAGCATGTGTGCAGTTGGTGAGGTGGACGTCGGTTCCTCCTCCTGACTTCCAGCTCATTCAGTGAGGGATTTTACGATGTACAGAGACATTCGGGTCTTTTCTCACCCAAGAAGCTTCAGGCTCCCCGAGCCGAACAGTAAACGGCTTCCGTGGTGATTTTGCAAGACCCAAACAAACAAAACTGTTTGAACTCTGATTGTCTCTTGATACCTCAACGTTTGTTTTAATCTTTAGGTCTCTCACCCCCGCTGTCTCACCCCCTGCAGCTTGAATGTGATGTTGGTTCAGCCTCGGGTGAGGAGTTTCATTCCTCTCCTTCATTCCGATCACATAGCCCGAGGATGAAGATCGCTCTTGGATGGAGTGGTGGCCAACGCGCTGCGGACTCATTGGGTAAGCGAAGGGAGGGAGGGAGAGGGGGATGGGGGGGAGGTTTTGATGGACTGTTGGGATTAACCTGTTGGGGATCTATTGAGCAAAGCTTCAGACTGTTCATTGGTGTTGTTTCTTGGTCAAGTGAGGGAGAAATGCATGTCACCACTCTGAGAGCGTGATGGTTCAAAACAGAACCACAGACGTCTGAGACCAGTTCCACCCAGTACAGCCTCAGTCTTGCCGCACGTCAGTCACATTGGAACGTTCATGGGACACACACACATTAAAGGTGAGTCAAGAAACCCCCCAGTGCATGGAAGTATCCCTCAGGTTCAGCGGTCTAAGAGTGGGATCAACCCCAGTGTGGTCTGTCCGGTGTTGAACTGTCCGTGCGGTATCCTTCCAATAGAAGATTTGCCTGTTCAGTTAAACTACATGACTGATCAATAGGAGGGTGGGTGCTGTGAGGTCAGGCCTCGGTAAGCGGGTTAGCAGAGTAGTGCTTGTTTGGTTTCTTGCAGTCAGACTCGGATGAGACAAAGCGGGTGCTTTGTTGTTAATTCTGGGTAAAGATATGATTCTGCGGTTGACAAGTGCGTTTCGAGCGTGTCCGTGTTGAGTCTTTCCGGGATTGGGGGGGGGGAGAGGGGATATCCTCAGTGTGCTGTTGTGTGTTGTTGACGATGTGTGTTGCCGTTGTTAGGGCGGTTCAGTGACCGGCTGTGGCTACGGCGTTCGGGTAAAGACGTGGATGAGCTGGTGTGAGGTTCTGTCCACACATCAACGGACCTGTCTGGACCAGAGGGTCGGACGCTCGCAGAGTAGCCAGCCAAGACCGAAGAGGGCGGCTGCGCACCTGGCCCACGCAAAGGAGCTCGCGCAAGCTCAGAGAGCCGAGGCCTGGTCGAGATCTCCTCACGTCTCTCGGGTCGCCACAGCACTCCAGAAAGCACTCCACACACATCACGACACACACGACACACACACGACACAGCACCACAGCGACGGCTTCGAGACCAGGGTGCGTTAGTTAGTCAAGGTGAACGTGTATGTACAGGGTGCAGGAGTGTGCGACCAGCAGAGTTTTCGTGTGTGTTTCGTGTCAATGGGAGAGAATCCATGGCACACTACTGCGGAGCGTGATGTTCAATCCAACGCGACAGACGTCTGATGACCAGTTCATCCCAGTGATAATATAATCAATGCCATACAGATACAGTTGATCTGATCAAAGTATCGATCCATGACAGAGATACGAGTGTAGTACGTGGATCGAAGTATCGTCCATCGCACAGGACTACATGGTGTATGACTGTCAAATGATCGTCCATGCCGGTCAGCAGATACAGTGTAGTAGCTGGATCAAGTATCCGTCCCAGTACAGATGACAGTGTGTGATATGCTGATCAATATCGTCCATAAAGAATTCAGTGTATCTGATCAATATCTCCATGATAAGAGCCTGTATACTGATGGAAGTATCAGTCCATGGAAGATACAGTGTATAGCTGATCAAGTATCAGTCATGGAGAAGATACAGGTGTGATAAGGCTGATCAGATTATTCGTCCGCCATAAAAAGATACCAGTGAATACTGATCAATACGTCCATAAAGAACAGGTATACTGATCAATATCGTCGGCATAAAGAACAGTTATACTTGATCAATATCATGCCATAAAGATACAGTAGTATATCTGAGTCAATATGATCAGTCCAGGTATCGTTGGTGATAGAGTTTAGCAGGAAAGTAGATCCGAGGAACTCAAACACATGCAACGTAGCATCGTTTGTTAATCAAAATGCCGCTCAGGGTTGTTGTTGTTGTTGTGTGATGTTGATGTGTTGCCGCGTGAGCGGTGTGTCTCTTTTCTCTCGTCTCGAGATGTCTTGCTGGTCGGGGGGAAGAGAGAGAGAGCAGAGGAGATCGACATCGAGTGGGGGAGACAAGTGAGACAGAACTTGCCCACTGGAATTAAACGTGCTGTCTGTCTTCGCGGCCGGAGTCCGCCGCGTCGGATGGAAGTGGATGAGTCGTCTGTGTGGTGAGCGCGAGAGAGATGAGAGATGAGAGGAGAGAGAGACACTGTGAGCGGAGCGAATGAGACGATGACATCACAATGCCAACCGTTGAGTTCCAGCAGGTGACGCGCGGACGCCGGACCCCCCACCCCCAGCCCAACCTATCCCCTCCCCTCCTGGACGGCCTGTGGACTGGGACCTGACTCCCCCAAAATCAAAAAAAATACAATAAACTTTCGAGCCTCCCTCCTCCCCACAATCCACCTCTCTCGCAGTAGCCGGGCATCTCCTGCGCATCACAATGACGTCACTGACCCCGCTGCCACCCCTCAAGATGCCGGGGAGGAGGGGAGGAGGGAAAACACGACTGAAAAATAAAGACTAATGGAATCAAAGATAAAATCAGCGGGACTCACCTGTGGACTTACCTGTGGAAAAACTTTAGATTGTTTGTTGCTCTTCTTTCTTCTTTCTCTTTCCGAGCACTAAAACAGCGGAAGGAGAGACGCCGCAACGGAAGCCTCCCCCTCAGCTCAACCCTTATCCAAAACAACAGCAGGCACTAAAATTCCCTTCAAAATAAAGTCAAGCCGACGAGGAATCCTCAGAGGAGCGAGTGCCAATGAAACAGTCAGCGAGAAAAAAAACGAGTGTGCGAGCTCTGTTTCAGTTTTTATTTCCCCGCTGCACTTTGGTTTTTTGGAAAAGGTCCACTCCCCATTTTATTGATTTTTTAAAAAAAAAGAAAAAAAAAAAAGTGCG